CCCCCCCCCCGTGCGGCCCACCCTGTGCTTCACGCAGGGCTGTGCCCAGTACCACCCGACGCTCCTCCCATTCCCTTCTCTCGAAGGCTCCACCTGCTTGAGTTTTCTTCATCACACGCGCTGCCCGCCCCGGCCACGCGACAGGTTCACTTGCACTGTCCCTTGGCTGCCCCCGCCCCCCGCACCGTGCTCTCGTTCTTTGCTGTCCCTCTAGCCCGTGGGAGGCGCTCAGTATTTGAGGAGTAGATGAACCACCGCCTCCCAGACTGTGCCCCCTGCTTGCAGTCGCTCTCACCTCCTGCCCTTCGCCCCCAGGGTAACGCTTTAGAAGCGTAGCTTTCATCCTTCCACGGCCCTGTTCAGAGACCTCCGGCGGCGCCCACACTGCCGGCTACACAAGGTCTGCACGCTCGTATGCTTCTACTAACCGGACCTCTCCGCGCACCCCGAAACTTCTGTTTATTCGTCTCCCTCCTGCGCCCTTCCGGCAGCAGCCCTGCCTGTGCTGCCTGCTCCCACCTCCCTTTCCTTCAGGAACCCCTTCAGATGGCGCCACCTCCATGAAGCCTTCCCTGACCATGCCACCCAGGGACGACCTCTCTCTTCCACCGTGGTGCTTGCTGTGGGCCGCCTGGCACACTCATTGTGCCTGGAATCTGAGGTGTCTGTCTGCTCTACAGGATTTGTAACCCGGGGTGACGGGCTGCACACGCAGCAGGTACCCCGCAAGGGTCTGTGGCCTCAGCCCCACCCCAGCGATGGCTGTGCCCACCCGGTACTCACATCAATCTCACTGAGGATGACGTCGATGATGCTGCCGATGACAATCAGGAAGTCAAACACATTCCAGGGGTCCCCAAAATAGCCCTGGGGGAGGGGCCAGGAGTGAGCTGTGGAGGGGAGGGGCTGGGGTCCCCAAAATAGCCCTGGGGGAAGGGGCCCGGGGTGAGCTGCGGAGGGGAGGGGCTGGGGTCCCCAAAATAGCCCTGGGGGGAGGGGCCCGGAGTGAGCTGTGGAGGGGAGGGGCTCAGAGGCCAGCAGAGCGCAGTGGTCCCTGTCAGGGGGATGCAGAACTGCAGGGCCAGGCAGGGCTGGGCCAAGATGCCACTTCCCACGGGTGTTCCAGTGCCCCACCCACTCCCGCTCCCCTCCCCTTGCCTCCCCTCCCTCCAGAGCATAAAGTGGTCCAAGGGGAGGGCAGTGTGCCTGGGAACTCAGGATTTGGGGTCCTGGTCCACACGGGGAAGTCCTTCGTCCCCTGCTTGAAGCCCAGTCCAGTCTGGGCCTCGCAGGCAGACCTGACACGGGGGTCGCGGGTGGGGAGTGGACATGGAACCCAGGACACAGCAGGAGGCTCCCTGGCCCGGGGGCTGCTCTTCAGAGGCTTAAGGGAAAGGGGGCCACGAGACAGGCTCGAGGAAGGGGCGGGGCAGGGGCAGCCGCATCTAGTCCTGCCGGCCACTTCTGGCAGCCTGAGCGGCCTGCCTGCCCCGGGCTGAGCAGGCTGGGAGCAGAAATGCCGGAGGCAGGGCGTCCTGTAGGACGGGGTGTGAGGGCTCCATGGGAAGGCCTCATCCTGCCGCGGGACTCACCCTGGCCTTGAACGCCATGAGCTTGAGGACCATCTCCACCGTGAAGATGGTGGTGAAGGCCACGTTGAGGATGTCTGAGATGTGGTCCATCTGCTCCGACTGGTTGTAGTGCTGTGGAGGCACAGGGAGGGGCTGGGGGCCGGCTCTGCCCCTCGGGGAGACACCCCCAGAGCCTGCTTTCTTCCTCAGGGCCCCTGCCCACCTTCCTTTGACCTCAGAAAACTAGAGCCCGCTCTGGCAACATGCAGAATCCTACCAGGTCCACGGCCACACCCTCTCCCCTCGAAGGACCGTGAGGGGAGGCGGAGGGGGCTGACCCTGGTCTTGTGAGCAGGGTTATACACACACGTCTGTTCCTGGAGGCCAGGAGGGAGGCCCCCCAGCAGGGCTCTGTGAGCGGCTCCCCCGAGCCGTTTGGGTACAGGACCAGGAGGGAAGACCCCTGGTTTGAGGCTGGGACCGCCCCCACCTGCAGGTGGCATCTGAGATCACCAGGCTCCCGTGCCTGCAAGCTACCCCGGGACCCCGAGGCAGCCCCGAGCAATGCCCTCAGCCGCCTTGAGCCTCCCCTGTGACCCTCCGGAAATCGATGTCCTTGTAACATTTCCCAGGAGTCTCTCACCCTTCTTAAAATAGAGTTGAAACGACCCCACTTCCTCCAGAAAACCTTCCCAGGTAGTAGAAGGATCTGGCGTCTCCCCTGCCCCACCCGGTCTTGGCAAGGCTGCCCGATTCTGCTGCCCAGCTCAGGCCTCCACGTGAGCCGTGGCTCGTGAACCCCTGTCCACGCTGGGCCCCCTGGCTCCGTGACTCCCTCCCCAGACCCTCCCCACCGGCAATGTGTGGTTGTGTCGTTGCCAGTGGCTGGGGCTCCGGGGCCAGGGAGCCTTGCTGTGTGATCCCATTTACGCGGGACGTTAGGGGTCAGATGCTTGATTAAGGCTCGATAAGGACGCTGCTGATATGACGCGTCTGTAAAGTGTGCTCATCCCCTCAGAGGCACCTGTTCTGTGAGAATTGCATCCCCTTTTCTTGGGACTGGAGCTGACATTGCGGTTTTCTCCACCACCCAGATGGGCAACAGCAGGAGGACAGAGAAGGTGCTCTGTGCCCCACCCTCCTGCGCAGCCGCCTCCTGGCCCCAGAGCAGCCACAGCCGCGTGTGCGCTTGAATTACGGCCCTCATGAACCGCTGAGTGCCTGGCACCCGGGCCGGCGTCCAGTCCACCTCCCCGCCCCACGTGGCATCTCGGCACGGTGCCTGGCACAGAGCAGGTGCCAGGAAGAGTCTACCGGGGGTAGTCAGCCTGGAGCCCCGCTCCCCCTGCCCCACCCAGGCCCTGGCCCACCGGGCGCCGGTCTCGGGGAACCTGGTCCCCGGGGGCCTTACCTGCATGCCCAGGCAGATGGTGTTGAGCATGATGAGGGCGAACATTAGGTACTCGAAGTAGGAGGAGGTGACGACGTACCACACCTGGTACTGGCACGGGTTTTTGGGGATATAGCACTTCAGGGGGCGGGCCTTCAGGGCGTACTGCACGCACTGGCGCTGAGACGGGACGCGATGGGCAGGTCAGTCCCCGGGACCGCCTCCCCCCGCTTCCACATCCACGCCCACAGGCTGGAGGCGCCCCGAACTCAGCAGGCCAAGGGCAGCTGTGGCCAAGGGCCTCTGCTGGGCTGTTGAGGGGAAGAGCTCCCCTGGGCCGGATTCCCCTGGAACCATCACGGCCCGTTTGTAGCACGGCTCTCACCCAGCCCAGGGGCTCTGGGCATCACGGCGGGTCCGCAGGGGACCCCACCTGACCACCGTGCCCTGCTTCAGGTGGGAGATGGGTCGGAGGTGGGGGGGCACCCACTGGAGGGTCTGGGATCACCCCCTGCCAAGGGCCCTTTGGCCTGGCCTGAGGCTCGGCCCGGTGGGTGGGGGCCCGGGCAGGCGGCCCAGCACCTGGTTCTTGTCCAGCTCGCAGTTCTTGTACTCGGTCTCCCCCTGCTCCTGGAAGGTGACGATGACGAAGCCCACGAAGATGTTCATCATGAATAGGGCGACGAGGATGATGTAGGCGATGAAGAAGACGGCCACCTCCGGGCGCCTGTTGTGCGCGGGGCCCCCGTCCTCCTCCTGAGAGTCCATGGCCCTGTACAGCAGCCTGCGGTAGGCAGAGGACACAGGTGCGCTGGGCGGGGCGGTGAGGCGGAGCCAGGCCGGGAAGGGCGGGCTTGGTCCCAGCGGCCGTGGGGAGCCGGGG